CTCATTGAAAATCTGAATTGGTTCGAGCCGGCTATTGCAGAGCTTTACATTTAATTGTTTTGAAATTTTATAAAAAATGTTACACACGTTAAACCCGGGCGAATTTTATTGGTCAGATTTGATTTGTATTTAGAAATTTTCGCGGTTTTTTTTTTAAAAAAAAATAAGGAAAAAAGCAAAGAAACATTTATCTAGAATAATTTTCACGATTGATTTATAAAATTTTTAAATGTAAAAAATTATAAATAAACATGCTTTCTATAAAACTTGAGCCAAAACAGCCTAATAGTATACAAAATTATACTTAAGAGCTACTATAAGGCCGTTGGCAAGTACTGTACAAAAGATCACCTTCAAACGCATTCTTGTCCTAAACTTTCAGTAATATTTTTAACAAATTGGTCCAACAATAAAATAAAGTAAAAATATAATCACTTTAGTTTATTTATGATAAGGGTCTACACCCTAGATAATTTCCAAATTTCCAAATTTTCGTATGATATAAAAGTGAACAACACTTGCCATTCAAATGATAGAATAGCCTCTATAAATTATATGTTATACCGCCACAAATAATTATAACAAACGGGAACTAATTTATATTTTTTGAATGATCAGACATTGTATCATAAAGATGGACAACAATGTAATATTCCTATATGTACAATCTTAATATGTCTTTGTATAGACTAGGAGAGCATTAATAATCATCAATGAATTATCCTCCAAAAACATAATTTCCAGAATTATCGTTGTAACCCGACTGCCGCAAAGTTTTTACATATTTTTTTTTTTTTTTTTTTTTTTTTTTGACAATTTAAATATAAGTATTTTAAAATTTTTAAATTAGCTAGGTTAATTTATTTGAACAAAATATAAAATTTAAAGTTGCAATTTAATAAACTTAAAATTCTTTAAAAAGTTAAAAGTAAGCATTTGTGATGTGTTCGTTTCGGACAATAACGCATTTGGGCTACCATGAAATAAAATGGTATAACATTGATTTAATAGATTTAATAGGCAAATGTTAAAGAAATCATGATTTAAATTTTTTTTTTCATTTAAAATAATTAATTTCATTACCGTTTAGTCAAAAAGGAAAAATCGAAAAACTTGTTTCTATTTAATAACTTGTAAAGAAATGCTTCCAATAATAAAACCTTTGGCATTTGAAAATTTGAAGTAGCGCAACATCAAATGACTAACTTTAAAAAAAAAATATCAACTATCGTTTTTCGAAATTCTCGATTAAAAAAGTTTCACAATATGCTTAATATTCATAACAAAACCTAAGGAAATTTAAAAGGATTATGATAAAGAAACGTATGAAATCAATAATTAAACTAGCTATAGAAATTTATAATGTGCTAATATAATAAATAATCTTAAAAAACTTAATAGATTTCAAAAGATTAATGGATTGAATTACATATTATCCACTAGATTCACCTCACAAATTTCCAGCAATTCTTAAAGTTTTCCTTTCCTTTCTTGTTTTATACGATTTATAAAGTAAAATCACAATACCAATACCTAAGATACTACCAATTACGGAAATGACAATTTTCATCGTTGAAAGCTCTTTAGATAATTTACTATCAGTAGTATTAGTAGGTAATTCAGATGAATTAGTAGGTGTCTGAGATTTGGTTGCATTAGGTTCAGCCTTTGTCTCTATGTGTTCAAATGTATTAACCCAAGTATAGTTTCTGATATCTAACAAATAAATTTTCGAATTTCCATCTATAGGAGAAGCATTTTGTTGAGCAATGTTTCCTATATCGTTAACAATTAATTAATTAATAATTAACCTATTTATACAATTATTAATAAAAAAAAAAATATGTATTTACCAAAAGCAACGATCATATAATTTTCGACTAATGTTGCTTTATGATTTAAAAGTGATGGAATTTCTCCAATATTTGACGATACTTGTGGTATAATCCATTCAAATGGGGTCGTTTGAGTATTTAAAATTGCTATATTCGGAGTAACTTGAACTTCTTTAGCATCACCACCGCCACAAATAATTATTTGATCATTTGGAGCTTGTTATAAAATCGAAAAAATATATATATATGTTAGATTTACTAAAAAAGAAAAAAAAAAAAAAGCAGTATATTCCTCATTAGATATAATTACTTAACACGGCAGTATGTGAATGACGGGATCCTACCAAATTGATATTTTTTGCAGCCTGAACGATATAAAAATGATAATTAGTTGATAGTTCATAATTTAACATTAGAAAATTTATTTATATACCATCACTTTCCAAGAATCCAACTTTGTATCATAAAGATTAATTTCATTAATTTTTATAAGTGTACGATAATAATCAATTCCTCCTACATATGCAATAATACCGTTTGATAATAACGTTGCAGTATAAAGATGTCGAGATGTAGGGACATTGAATGTAGTTCCATATGACCAAGTTAAGATATTTGTATCAAAGATAATCATATCATTACTTAAAGTAATTGGATTTGCAAAATCATTTGCACCTCCAAAAATATAAATCTTTCCAAGATTATCTTTGACTGCTTCAATATTCCTGCGCCTTGCTGGTATTTGGCCATTGGTTTTAGGTATATTCCATTTAAGAGTTTGAAGATTAAATGTATGTACGAATGATATAAATACGTCTTCATATGAAATTGGATCGAGCATAAATCCACCAAATAGATAAATGGTTGGATTAAAGTTGTCGATTAATGAAACTGTAGCGTATATACTTGCAAATGGTATTGCCGCTGATGACGTTAGGTCAATCCATTGTTGATTTTCTGAATTAAATGTTTGAGAAACATTAAGATAAAATACTTCATTTGAAGAGGCGGACGTATATCCACCAAAAAAATAAAGTCTCTTTCCTACAAGAATTGATGAGGAACCATAACGTGCAATGGGAGTAAATGAAAAGGCTTTATTAATAAACATTCCTAACATTAGCACATAATAAAGAAATAACATCATCGTCTTATATTTTAAAGAAATCATAATTTTTTTTTTTCTTTTTTTTTTAAAAAGGATTTAACAAAAAAAAGAAACAATAGAACAGATTTATATAAACAATCTTGTGTAATTTGGTACAAAAGTTGTTTATGTTTAACGAAATAAACGTTGACACACCTAACAATGATCGATATGTCTAAATTAAAAATAATTTTATTTCCTCTTTCTTTGTTTTCTTTTTTTGTTTTTGAAATTCTAACGATTTTTTTTTTTTTTGTATAATTCTATAATAATAATTCTATAATAACTAACTTCTTTTACAATATTCATAACGAAATCTAAGAACTCATTGGCAAGTGTAGAAGTGTGGAATCCATAGCAAGCTGGGTCTATGAAACTCTAATGAATTTATTCTTTATAAATTGATAATGTTTAATTCAAATATAACTTACTAAATGTCTTTTTTCTTAAACCCCAATACCATAAGAAATGCATACCTACAATAATACCAACAGAAATGACAATTTTAATCGTTTTCTTTTCCTTAATTAATGTATTAGCAGATGGGTGAATTAGAATAGAAAATACTTGAGATTGAGTTGAACTAAATTTTGGGTCGTATTCGGAAAGTCAAATGTATAAATTTTTGAATGTTTTTTTTTTCTTATGATAAACAGCCGACTTAGTAATATCAAAAATTGACTAATAAAATATTTCCTATAAGATTAACAATGCGTATGTCATAATAATTAATCATAATTCTCATTTACCAAAAGCAAAATCATATAATCTTCGACTAAGATTGCTTTAAGAGATACTTACGGTACAATTCAAATTTAGTTGCTTGAGTATTTAAAACCGCGTAACTTGTTGATATTATCGGCTCCGCCACAATTAAGTTTCGTGGACTTATAAAATAAATTGGAGCTTAACTTTTTTCTTTTTTTTTTTGGGTTTAAAAAAAAAAAAAATAAATAAAAATAATTTATTTACATATACCAATACGGTAGGGTAGGTAGTATTTGCAAGGGGATTCGAATTTTTTGCATTCTAACAAAAGTATAGAAAAATAACCATTTCAGAATTGAATGTTAGCACATTTATTACATACATTATTCTATGGAGAACATTTTTCTAAATTTATATTTGACCGCTTCAAATCTCTGTTTTGGGTTTATCGTCGTACCAATGATATACGGGCCGATCTGGTCCGGACTTGAATAGTGCCTGGTTAACTAATATGGAAATGATCTGTACTATTAATCACACCATGTCACACCCTACCGAGATTCAATTTTTCTATTTATTTTAAGGACAGTAAAATATATCACGTGATTTATTTGTCACCTGGTGGTCACTAGACCATGAAATCATGGTAGTGATCACCACCCAAAACATGGTCAGACGTGCAATAGAGAAAAAACGTGTAAATATTTAATTTTAAATCGGCGGTCAATTTATTATCAATCATGCCAATCATGCAAAAAATAACGTTTAAATGTATCGGATTTTGATAAGGTTTCGGAGTTTGAATTTAATTCACAATGCTCATCGGAAAAGGCGCTACTGCATTTATGTAAAAAATTAAATTTTAGAATTATTACTAAATAATTAGAAATTAATATAATGAACATGATTTATATGTATATGTGAATGATGAATTAATTGAACGGAGAAATGAGGGGATAAAGAAAAAAGATTTACAAAATACTTGGGTAATCTCCTGAACGAAATTTTTTTTTTTTAAAAAAAAAATTTCTATATTTATATTATTATTTAAAACAAAATCATACCCAGATACCTTTTTGAATGTATCTCAATTATAAACTATATTCCTATATTTAATGCCACACTATTTTTTTTTTTTCTTTTTTTGAATAAATATTGTTATTTTAAGTACGAGATATTTTAAGCTTAAATCTATATATATATATATTTATAAATATATATGTTTATAGCAATTATTAAATACAAAATTTTTTTTTTTTTGCCAATTTACTATACCGATATATATAATCACTTACCCTCTTTCAAAAAAATTATTCAAAATCATCACCACTACTAATCGTAGAATCACTATCAGGTGCTGCGATTGTAGAAGCATTAGAAGTAGCCAAGGCCAGCGAATCACTTTGATTGTACCAAGACCATGGTTTATACCATTGCTGATTTATTTCAGGCCTAGAATTGCTTGTGGAAGTGGTCACGACTGACTCGTTATCATTCTCATCTTCGTCCGACGAAGAGAAGACAGGTGATGCAGAAGACGATGAAGAACGACGGGAAAAACTTTGTCTGTAGCCTTCACCCTCGCTATCAGAATCATCAGATGTGTCCATGTTGTTGCTCGCATCTTTATAATGATCAAATATAAATGAATAAATATTCAATGACATTTGGACAACTCATAACCTTTAATACAACCAGATTTTCTCACCCCAATTGAACGAACCAGTGAACATCGATTCGTCTTCGTCTTGGTCATCGTCCGAATCCTCCTCAGACGACGATGATGAACTTATTGATTCGTCGTCCATCAAATCGTCTGCTGTAGAATCATCTTGATACATATTTCTTAATCGGGACGTTGTCGAAGCGTGTCTGTATAAGGCATTTGAAAATTCGAATTCAGAATCTGTTGGGGTTCTATAAGGATTCGAATTATGATAATTTGATGACGTTGTTGACGATTGTGATGCATTAATAATAGCTTGTGGAAGCGTATTTAAAAAATGATGACCATTGTTTGCATTATTATATATTTGTTCGTTGTTTTGATTACTAGTAGATAAATTACTCGATGAAACATTATTTAAGTGATCATTATATATGGAACTTTCATTATTTGAATTAACATGTCTAAAAGTGTCTTGATCATGAAATCTAGGCATATCATTGAAATCAGATCTTTGTGGATAATAATTATCATTTCGATACCTAGACATTTCGTTAACTTCAGATCTTGGAGTAATATCTCTAGAAAAACTTGGGGGTCGACTACGTTCAAATTGGGAGTATTCAAAGTGATCATTAGATTTCGTTCATATAAAGGTTGAATAACATGTTCAATAAACGATGAATGAAGATTATCTAACCTTCGAAATGCTGAACCACTATAGTTGACGACGAAAAAAAAACTAATTAATATATCAATTCTTCAACGAATAAATTTTCAGTTATTATGAGAAACATACCTCATAGATTCAGGGTGGGGACGATTACGCGTTATTGATCGTGACCTTATTGAATCTTGTAAAATTAGTGAAAAGATTATCAGTATCTTCAAGAAGAAAATCACGAGATAATCGTACACAGTAAATATGACCATTACCAGTATGCGTTGCTCCTCTTGGATAAGTTCGTCTTCCTGACGAAGTTAATGTTTCATTTGAGCTGCTATAATATGGATTACGTGGTGGACCGAAGGTATTGCCGGTTCCACGATCATATTCGTGATCATCCTCGGATTCATCTGAATCATCGGAACTGTCAGAATCATTACTTTCAACATAATGTGTTTCATAAATTTCATCATCAATTTCAGACGGTGAATCGCTGAAATTCAAAAGTAATTTTGATTATAGTTATTTAAATCTAATAAAAATAATAATAATAAACCTACTCCTCATTATCATAATAATCTTCTTCGGTGCCGTTATCATTGCGAAAGGGATGTCCAAGGTTTAATCTACCACCAAATATTGAGTTTACCACTTGTAGCACACCTACAAGATAACGATATGATAAGGATATGATATAATAACTTTGTTAAATAATTTGTTAGATGAACATATTGTCTAATATTATCAAATATATACCGCGTTGAAAATTTGCAAAATCCAATTCGCCTGGGTGTGGCATATCATTTGTATCAATTTGATTCTGTGGTTGCTGTGGTCCATGCACAGGATGTTCCCAAATCCTTGGTTGTTTCGCAAATTTGTCTACTTCGATTCGGCAATAAGGACATTTATAGTCACCTATGGTAAACGTAAAAAATTAATAATCAATTTGTAATTTCTCTCTTTTTTTTATAAAAAAAGAAGAAAAGCGTGAATTTACCTGAATGGTTAAAATGTGACCTAATAAAAATTCATTAAATAAATAATTAAAATAAATAAGGTATATTCAACAGAAAGACCAACATTAAAGGAATTACCCTAGACAGTTCAAATGATAAATATGCCCACATGACAGTCTAACTTGAGCATGATTAGCCTCTACATGTTCAATGCATATAGCACAATCAATTGCTTCACCCTCAGCATAATGATACATCTTCTCTGAAGGTCGGTCGAATGTAGTACTAGATTTCATTCCCGAAAAAATTGATCATTAGTATTTCCTTATTTAAATTTATCTATATATAATATCGTAGATAAAGAATATCCTTATATACATATATATATATTGGGCAATTTAACGAGTAACGTCTCTAATCCCACACACCACAAGGGGATACTATTTTGCTTTTCCAAAATCTTTTAGCGATAAAGAACATCTCAAAAAAACTTACCTCTGAGCTGGCTCTGCCGTAGTAGAATTTCTCATATTCTTTATTAAATTAAGAGCTTGATCTACTAATGGAAGATATTCTCGTCTACCTTCAGCCTCATATAAACAACGTTTATTATTTAAATAACCCTCAATCTCTTTAGCAAACGAGATCCTGAAAGTATTTTCTGTCTCAATGTTTAGTCTTTCCCCTTCTTCTAATTTAAGTTGTGTCTGTAAATTTTAATAGAAACGATATGCTGTTACAATAAATAAATGGAAATTTTAGATCATAAAAAACCCCCCAAGGAATAAGGTAAGTAATTGTCACAAAAATAAAGTTAATAATATATCTGCGCGTTTAAATTTTAATTTATAATGTTAACTTACCCTAAACATATAGCACTGCTTCAAATTAGCGGGTGATAACAATCAAAGTAAATATATTATTTAAGAGAATGTAAAGAGGGATAGTAATAAGAAAATTGAGATAAATCTAGCAAGCCTCAAATAAAAATTTCTCTTATTACTATTTGAAAAGTTTTAGCTGCTTGCAGCTAAAAATTGTATGGGTAATCTAAAAATTCGGCACTACTAAAAAAAAAAAAAAACAAAAAAAAAAAAACTTTTTAAATAAGGAACGAGATCAAAGTAAAAAAAAAGTTGAATTACGGGGAATGAATAACGTGTATTTCTTTTACTAATATATTTTTTTTTTTTTATGTATGTAGGCCGAAGAAGAAGAAAGTGGCTCGTAAATTTTTTTTTTGGTGTCAGGAGACAGTATAAATCTGTATGCAAATAGATTAACTACATTTATTAAGATGACAATAATGGACTTGTTGCGTTACAATTGTTTCAAGTATTACCTATTCGAATGGGGACCACGAACGTGACCGTGGATAGCCAATGAAAAGTGAAAAGAATGCGCCTTGAATGACAATCCAACTTAAAAATGTTTTGTTTTTGTTGCATCTTCTATATACAAATTGAGTAAAGAACAAAAGAAATCAGGGAAGCATTCTCCGTTTTTGATGCAAGTGCATGCTCTAACATTTACATGATGCGAATTTGGTCATAACATACTCTATAAATTCTTTTTTTCCGTAAAACCATATTGCATTGACAATGGAAATAGAAGAAATAGCAGTAGTTTCGAAGATCTTGGGGGGGGGGGGCAAATAAAGATGAGCGAATAAAGAAAATCCGCAGCCACATCAACGTTTTATGATTCCATTTAAAGCATGCGGAGAAAGGATTTTCATGTTGCTGAATTTCCAAGGATAGTAAAGAATTTAATTGTGTTTGACATCATTAAAGTTTGAAAAAAATTAGGTTACATTGTGCTTCATGCAGAATTCGCTTCAAGGGGAATTGTTTGCTGCGGCAAAGATTCCCAAATTTAAGGGGAATTATAAATGAAAATAAAGGATTTAAGTAACTATTATTCCGTCACTTTCTAACTGATAAATCTCGGTTAGTATAGTGGTTAGTATCCCCGCCTGTCAGGGTAACCAGCACGCGGGAGACCGGGGTTCAATTCCCCGACCGAGAGAAATCAATTTTTTTTTTTTTCAAAAATGATTACGGCGCAGCAAATGACGATAAATTAAATTTTATTAACCAGGTAGATCATCACGTGATTTTGCTGTTCGTGTATATAAACATTGATTCTTTTGCATAATAAAATATTATTTAATTAAATAAAAACTTTAATATTAAGCCAATTTAATTAATATATTTAATTAAAATAAATATTTTAACATATTTAATATAATTTATATTTAGAAAATAATTTAACTACCTCATCTAGAATATTTTTATTAATATTAACTATAGTTCTAAAATCGCAAGTTTCAATTTATATAGAACTGCAATTTTAAAATCATAAGTTCTATGATTCTAATATTATAGTTAAAGATCTTAAATTGAATTAATTGAAATAGACTTATAAAAATGTTTTTTAACATCTTTAATTTTATAATAAATAAAATAATAAAAAATAAAAAATTACTTTCTTTCTTATTTTTTAAAATTAATAATAATTTTATAATTTTAAGACTTTTAATATTTTAAAGAATAATAATAATTTTATAAAAAAATATATATATAAGTTTTTTTTATTTTTAATTATTTTAATCTTTAATAATATAGAAGCAGTCAGTAGAAAAGAAGAAAATTCACTTTTTAGTCAAAAATTTTTTTATTAATTAACTCTACTGATCATAATCATATGAATAAAACTAGCTTAATAACTAAAATTACTTAAAATTTGTAGATTTTTCTTTTCTATTAACCGCCTTTCATATATTAATATTATACTAATATATTATATTAAATATTATATTATAATATATTATATTATCATAGATTTTATAAAAATTAATTATTTAACTGATTATAAATTTAAAAATAATTCTTTTATAAAATATATAATAATTAACTGATAAAAGTTAATTTTGATTTAATTTTTTAAAAATAACTAATTAATTAAATTTTTTTATAAAAATATTCTTGATTTAAAATAAATTTTTATTAAAAAAAAAAAAAAAAAAATAGAAAATTTTAATTAATTTTTTTAAAAAAAATTAACTTTACTTATTTTAATAAATTTTTAAAATTTGATTTTAATAATACTTAAAAATTTTACAAATGAAGATGATTAAAGATATTTAAACTTTTAAATTTATTTATTTAATATATAATTATTTATTATATTAGAATTAATGATAAAAATACTTAATTTTTTTTTACTATTACTTTATTATTTATATTACCAAATTAAATAATAAATATATTATATAATTAAAATAAATTTTCTAACAAAATTAATAATCTAAATAAAGATAGTCTTCATAATTATTTTCAAATTTCAAATTTCAAATAAGTTATAATTTAATTACACTATAAAAAATTTAATTGCATTACAAGTTATAACTTAATTATGCTATTTTTTAATTGCAATGTTCATCTTTAAATCTAAATTATACTTTATAAAATATTCAAATAACTTTAAAAATATTATCTGAAACAAATCTTCCTTAATATAATTTAATATAATATAGTAAATATTAGTATTTACTAGTGTTCCGCACGGATTCAGATCAGATTTGTCAGATTCAGATCTAATTCGGATTCAGATTCGGATCAGATCTGATCCATCAAATTCAGATTCAGATTCGGATCTGATCAGTCAGATTCAGATTCGGATTTGGATCTGATCCGTCAGATTTGGATTCAGATTCGGATCTGAATTCAAATCTTGAATTGATTATCAATTAATAAATTGATAATCTTTTTTTGCCGATATACCGTTGTAAACTTCTTTCTTTAGAA